AGGGTAGACCTCGTACGTAGATTTAGGCTTGGGGCACTTATCACACTAACGTAGGTACAGTACACATTGTTCATTTCTAATTCTTCGAAAGTTCTTTGATTTCTGGGGGCCAAGATCCTTTCATTTCTAATTGTTTTATCCTGGGCCTCTTCCTGGCCTGTAGGGGGCCAGGAATACATAGAAACGAGCACAATTAGAAACGAGCGCGGTTAGAAATGAACGACGTGTACTCTCGAATCGTAAATTGCTCTCTGAGAGAAGCTGTTTGGAGTCTTCTGCAGCCGAGAGCGTTTTTCTGCAACGGGATGAGGTCTGGGGAGGTCCGAGGGCCCAGTTCGCGAGCCCTGGGCTTCCCTCCTTTCCCTTTCACTGCCTGGTCCCGGGGGCGCACCCATGGGAAAGGCAGAGGGGGCGCGGCTTCTCAGAAGGCTCAGAAGGCCTCCCGCCTTCCGAGAAGCTTCCCGAGCCTTCTCGGAAGGCGCATGGGGGCTTCTCATAAGGTCGGAAGGCCGGACGAGCTTCCGAGAAGCCCCGCAGCCTTCATGAGAAGGCCTGCCCCATATCACTTCCCCCTCGGCGCGCCGCCGATGCTCGCTGTCTCTGGCCAGGCGCCGGTCGCTGGCGGTGGCCATGGCGACGTAAAGTGTAGGCGGGATCTGAGCCGGGACTGTGTTTTAGGGTTAGGGCCGGAGGTCGCAGCGAGGTCCGGGAACGTGCACGGGGTCGCCCGCTGGGGCGCAAAGATGGTCGCGCTTCAAGGCCTGGGCTGGAGAGTCGCTCCCGTCCACGTGGGTCGCGCGAGAGCGTGAAGATGACCGATCCCAGCACAGCTCAGCTCAGCTGTCAGACATGCTGCCCTGGTCAGGAGGGGAGAGGAGTGCCAATGGCACGCCGCCGTTGCGACTCCGTCACCGTGCTACTCCTTGGTCTTTTGTGCGAAGACCTGGTGTTCCTTCGGCGGGCGGGTCGCTCCTCCCCGGCGGGGCGGTGTTCCCAGGCGCGAAGCGGCACCTCCCCACGTTTGGCCGCGAGCCTTCTTTGGACTATTTCTGGTCCCCCCTCCAGAGATGGAGCGCCAGCCTTTGCTGTGCGTCGCCGTGGGGGGCCCCGCGCCCTTTCCTCGTCGGCCATCAGTCGTTCCCCACGGCGGCGTGTCATTGAAACTGTTTTTCTCCCCGCAGCTTGGGGTCTGGATCTCGCGGTGCGGCCTCCGGTCAAGGGGGAGTCACAGCAGGCTTTGCCCGCGGACGGCGGGCTGCTGTGCATCACGGCAGCTTCAGCCAGCGCTCGCACCGCACGCCTCGTCGATTCCGCGGGGGTCAGGCACGCACACGATGTTTAGGGATGGCCGCTCCTGGCGGGCGTCGTTGAGGGTTGACGCGCCCACGCTCCTCTCCGTCCTCTCGCCCTCCCCGCCTCCCGCTGCTCCCGTCTCTTCGGGGGCAGCTTCCGGGGGAGGGGACGCATCGACCTCCGATCGCACACTGCTGGCCGATGGGGGTCCGATAATTAGCCCGCCTCGCCCAGGACCGTGCGGCTTCGCTGTCGGGGGCCTGCCGCCGATCTGTGGGTCGACGCGTCGCCGATCGCAGGTCGATGCTCCCCCCTGAGCCAGTCCCCCGCCTAGCGTTTCCCCTCATCTCGTCCTCTCCGCCTTCTGCTCTTCCCGTCTTCTCCAGCAGCGACGCCCGAGCCCTCCCTGGGCTTCCCTGCCCGCCTCGAGTTGCCCTTCTCCAGGGCGGGTCCCGCTGGGCCGTTTCAGAGCGCGTCTATGTCTGCGTCTGAGACCCCTTTCCTCGTGCGCGTGCGCACCTGCGTCTGCGTTTGCGCGTGTGCGCCGTGAGACTTCAAGGATTCTCGACGACAGGTACAAAAACAAGCACGCGCATTCGTGAACATTCTGGTACAACGAAAAGAAACGGAACTCGATTGTGCAATATGGTAGCGATACCGCGCTAGAACGATGGGCACAAATTATGGTACCTGCGGGTGCGCGTCTGCTTCTGTGTCTGCTTCTGCGTCTGCTTCTGCGCCCGCGCGTGTTCGCCTGCGCCCTGCCCTGCGCTTGCCTCCGCGTCTGCGCCTGCGTCCCCTCCTCCTCGTCCTCCCGCTCGACAGTGATTCGATGTACACCTACTCAATGTTATTACTGCTGTCCTCCCTCCCCTGAAGATGGCCGGGGAGTGGAACGGCCCCCTCCGCGTATTGTACATTTTCACACGGGACTTCGAAAGTTGATGCGGCGCCTTGCTCCCTTCGTTCAGAATGGTGCTCTCGCCCCAGCGTGGACCGCTTTTCTGGATCCGAATGATCCCTCGTCGTTGTCGCTACGCTCCTTTCCCCTCCCCCGCCTTCCCCGGGTCATCCTGCTCCGCCCGCTTCTCCCACCCCAGCTCCTGCTGGTTCTGTTCGTCCTCGTCCTCCTCCTTTCTCATCCTCCTCTCCTTCCTTCCGCTCATCCTCCTGCTCATCCGCCGCCTCCTCCGATGTACGCAGCTCCCCTCACTCGATTGCGCATGGCGCGATGGGGCCCCTTTTGGAGTTCCAGGTCCTCTGTGGCACGCGTCCGCAGATAAAGGCAAATCAGCGCAATGGGAAGGGATGGGTGGGGAGGGGCCAGATTCCACATATGACCCGAGCGCGCCTATCTTGTCTACTCCCTCTCGCCCTCTCCCCTGTGCAGTCAAAACGCCTGTTGAACAAGGACCACGCTTCGGGCTCAGAAGGGGCTCCCATTTTCGAGCCGTTCCTTAGGTTCAGGTCGAGACGCCTATCAGTCGCCGAGGCTCGCCGTGGCTGGAACAAACCCGTCGTTCTTTTTTTCGGCGTTCCCCATTCCATCCCCGGCCCTCCCCCATCTCCCCTGGAAGAAACATAAGCATAAACTTTCGACGGGCCGCACTGATTTCCTGGATCTGCGCTGGGGGCCCCTGGCGGCGCCTCCGGCTCCGCCCCTGGCGCGCGAAGCGCGCCAGGGATGGGTGTCCAGCGCAGATCCATGTCGACAGTTTATGTTTATGCAGTTGCTTATTGCTCAATTCCCTTCTCCTCTCTCTTTCCCAGGGCGGCTTCCCGCTGTTAGGGCCTGTATCGGCGACGGGGCGCCGCGATTATGCACGTGTGGTATTCTGGCTGCCGTGGCCGCGGCTGGAGCGACCCTTCCGACTCGCGCCTCCCTTGCCTCGCATTCTTCCCCCGCGTCGCTCCCCATGTGGAGCCCAGCAGAATGGGGGAGAAAGGGCACCCTCGTCACCACGGCTGGATGCAGCTCGAAAAGCTTGTCAGTTTCGATCCTGGGAGGCGTCCGGGGACCGATTTGAGCGTAGTTGCCTTCGTCCCCCCTCCTGACCGATATTCTCGGGGCCCACCCAGCGCAGCCCCACCCTCGCAGCGACCAGTATGCTGCTTTCCAGAGAAGGGGCCTCGCTTCGAGGAGCCGGAGGAGTTGCCATCTCCTCGGCGGAAGGCGGCGGAAGGCCGGCGGAAGCCGGCGGGAGCAAAACGGGGGCGGCTCCGCTGGCGGAGGCAAGGCATGTGCCCCAATACCCCCCAAGCAGGCCTGCCTTTGGGGTTCTTACTCGGTTAAGAAGAATAGTGCCTCGGGGGGGTACGTCGCCCGTTCCCTGGAGGTTCCTCGAGTTCCTCGGATTCCTCGGGTGCCTCGTCGGGTTCCTCAGGTTCCTTGTCACAAGTCGGGTTCCTCGGGTTCCTCGTCGGGTTCCTCGTCGGGTTCCTCGGGTTCCTCGGGTTCCTCGGGTTCCTCGGGTTCGCAAGCAATGCCAAGCAATGCCAAATACTGCCGAGCAATGCCAAGCATTGCGCTCATGCAGTAGGAAGCTTTCCCCTGTTTGGGGTCGCGCCGGGTTCTTTCTTTTGTATCGGGGAGGGAGATTCATGGTCTCTGGAGCCCGCCGAATATTGGAGCGGCGTGCGCGGACGTTCGCGCGTAAACTTCCCGCGGAAGGTCTCGCGTGAGCGCGTGGTGTGCCGCGTTGGCGGCGAGCGTAGGCCATCGACGCCGACCCTGGCCGCAACGCCGACCCCTGTCGGAGCACTTCAGCGGTGCTCGGCTGGGGCGGGAGGGGGCGAGGTGGAAAAGGAGGAGGACGACGACGTTGAGGGTGAGGGGAAGGATGGAACATGGAGGGAGGACGATGCGGGCGAGCATGGCCGGAGGAAGAGGACGATGACGACGACGAGGCCCCCTGTTGTCCGTGCACAAGGCCTCCTATTCTTGGTCGCCCGCTCAGAGGGGGCCGCAGAGAGGGATCAGGGGCGGCGGATTGACATTTCTTTGGGCGTAATCGTGGGGCCTCCTGCACAGCTGCATCCTACAAATCAGCACATCCCGCACCTCCCGTGCGAGGCGTTCCAGAAAGGGCCTCGCCTTCGAGTAACGAAGTAGTTGATATTTTTTCTTCGGTGGAAGGCGGCGGAAGGCGGGCGGCCGGCGGAAGCCCGCGGAAGGCCAGCGGACGCCAAACATGCGCCCCCAAGAGGTGGGATCCTTTTTGGGATCAGGGTTTCTGGAACCCGCCATGTGGTGGTATGTCCATCTTCCTATTCCCTTTACGCGCCAAGGCCGCTCCCCGCACCTCCAGCCACCTAATTAGAATTCAGGAGCTCAGGTGCTGACATTGTACGGCAGTGACAGCTGACTTCGGGAGCCATTCTTCTTGCGCGTCTAGCGCCGAGAAATCCTTGCGTCATCGCCATCCTTCCGTGCCCTCGTTGCCATTCTCTCCCTCCCTTCTCTTCTTCTTCGTCATCGTCATCATTTCTGTCCTTCCCGCCATCCTCGTCAGAGGAGGGAGTCGGAGAAGGAAGGATGAGTGAGGCGGGATGAGGGGAAGGGGGGAGGTTACGGGAGACGGAGGCAGGTGTGGGAGGGCAATGGAGGGGATGGGGATGGGGACTGGAGATAGGAATGGGGAGCAACTGTATCTCCTCCGCCATCTCTCTATCAGTTTCTTTCTGCTGCGTTTCTGCCGCATCCTCCAAAGGCATTTTGGCTCACGCTGGGAGCGTGTAGGCCCCATCCGGTTTCGACGGGAAGGGGTCCCCGATAAGGAATGTCGGCGTGGCCAGCGGTGCCATTGAACATATGGAAGCTGTTTGTCCGGCATGTCATCCGTCCAGAGTATCGAGACTTTGCCCTCCGTCCAGAAGAGTACCCCGAAAGCTGCCCAAACCCGTCACAACGATGAGGCCTTTGCAGGTCTCTTCTTCTCTCCTCCCTCCTCTCTCCTCCCTCCTGCTTCCCCGTGGTATTCTGGCCTCCTTTGACCGCCCGCCCCGCGGACCGATCTCGCTCCTCCCTTCTCCTTCTCCTTCTCCTCCTCCTCCTCCTCCTCTTCCTCCTCCTCCTCTTCCATTCCCTTTCCCTATTGCTAACTCCTCCGTATCGCGCCCGAGACTTGACGGCCGGGCGGGCCAGGCGTTTCGCCTGAGTCTGCCTCACCACTTATGATCCTGACGCTTGAAATTTTGCAGCAGTTTCACTGATGGAGGGCGGATGGTTTTCAACTTGTGGCTCTCGCCGTAGCGCCGCGCGCCTTCGTCTTACCAGTTTGCAACACGTTCACAGATGCAGGGCGGGTGATCTTCAACATGTGCTTCTCGCCGTGGGCGTGGTGCACAGTCGTCTTCAAACACTGCAGCAGCTGCACGGATGGAGGGCGGGTGGTTTTCAACATGTGGCCTTGCTCCAACGCCGCGCACATGTGCTTTAAACGTTGGCAACAACTTCACGGATGGAGGGCGGGTGGTTTTCAAAAAATGCTGTTCTCGCCGATGCGCCGCCCGAATTCGTCTTAAACGTGATGAACACATTTGCGGATGGAGGGCGGTCGGTTTTCAGAATGTGGCTCTTGTCGCAGCGCCGCACATATTCACTGTAGATGATTGATTGCAGCAGCTTCACGGATGGAGGGCGGGCGGTTTTCAAAGTGTGGCCTTCGCGTTAGCGCCGCGAGAGCATGTTTTACACGATTGCAACATGTGGCTCTAGCCCTGGCGCCGGGCGTACTCGTGTTCGGATGGAGGCCCCGTGGTTTTCAAAATCTGGTTCTTGCCGTGGGCGCCGCGTACAGCCGTCGTGAAAGTCTTGCAACAGTCAAGGATTCCGATGGTTGACGTCTCAGAGATGGTGTTTTGGCGTGACTTAGGATTGTCTAGATGCAACCATCGGTTTTCGTCGCGGTGTTGAACCCCCACGAGCGGTGTTCTGACACGATTTAGGGTTGTCAAGGGACTGCGTTTTAATCCGTGGCGATGACGGCCGTCACCGCGGAGGGGGGAAGGGGGAAGGGGGCCCGTGACGTCATGTTTCGCGCTGGCGGCGTCTGGGAATGCCTAGGAATGACTGAGGACGGGTAGGAACAGCATGTAGGTGGCGATCTGCACCACAGCGCCTGTGTGAACCACAGTGCTTTCGTGCACCACAGCGCCTGTGTACACCAGAGCGCCTGTGTAAGCAGCTGCATGCAACACAGCGCCAGTGTGCACCACAGTGCTTGCGTGCACAACATCGTTTGTGTACACCACCGCGCCTGCGTTCACCACAGCAGCCGTGTGCAACAAAGCACAAGTGTACACCACAGTGCCTGCATGCACCACAGCGCCTGTGTACACCACGTCGTTTGTGTGCACTACAGCGACCGTTTGCAACATAACACAATTGCTGTGCATAGAATTGGATAATGAACCCTTACGACAGAATGGAGCGCCTGTGGATTCCACAGGGGACACGTATTGCGAAAGCCTTACGGCCGTTGCCGCCGACCCTGAGAGCGACGAAGATGAAAACGAGGGGGGGGCAGGGTGGAGGAGGTGGATGCGAGAGGAGGAGGGGGGAAACGGATGTGGAGGAGAAGCAAGAGGAGGAGAAGGAGGCAGAGGAGAGCAGGAGCAGGGGGAGCAGAGGGGGAGGGGAGGAGGAGGAGGAGGATGAGGAGGAGGGAGGAGGAGGAGGAGGAGGAGGAGGAGGAGGAGGAGGAAGAGGAGGAAGAGGAGGAAGAGGAGGAGGCCAGAGGCTTTCTTGGGACAGCCTGTGGCTCTCCTGAAGCCGTCTTGGGCCGTCCAGCGCTCCTCTTGCGCCGTCTCGAGGCACTCTTGGAGGCCTCCTGGGCAATTTGGGGCTCTCCTGGGCTGTCTTGGGCAGTTTGGGGGCCCCTTGGGAGCCTCTTGGGGCCTCTTGGGGCTTCTTCGGGGCCTCTTGGGGGCCTCTTGGGGCTGAGAGCCGTAAATGTCCGTTCGGGTCCCCCGTCTGGGCACTCTCCTGGAGCCGTCTTGGGGGCCTCTTGGGCCGTCTTGGAGGCGTCTTGGGTCGTCTTGGGGCCCTCTTCGGCCGTTAGGGGACCCTCATGGGGGCCTCTTGGGCCGTCTCGGGGCGATCTTGGGGGCCGCCTTGGCGCGTCGGGAAGCGGAAGAGGCAAGAACGCCAGCATCTTTCAAAAACGTATGGGACATCCAGGAATTTTGCCTCTTGGGGCTCTCGTGAGAAAGCTCCTGGAGGCCTTTTGGGGGCGCTTTGCCGGCCTCTTGGCTTGGGCCGTCTGGAGGCCGTCAAGGCGTCTTGGACAGATCGTTCGGCGATTCGGGGTTCTCTTGGACTGTCTTTGGGGCCTCTTGGGGCACTCTTGGCCCGTCTTGGGGCTTTTTGGGGCTCCGGGACTCCCAGGGGGGGCGTCGTATCTGACCCCCCCCCGCGGGCGTCTGACCCCCCCCCTCCCCGGGACCCCCCCCCGGCGGGGGAGAAGTATTTTAAACTGGATTTGGGAAGGAGTCCTTGCGGAAATGGGAGCACCTTTTGAATGTACGAGTCTTTCCGAGGAGGAGGAGGAGGAGGAGGAGGAGGAGGAGGAGGAGGAGGAGAGGAGGAGGAGGAGGAGGAGGAGGAGGAGGGAGGAGGAGGAGGAGGAGGAGGAGGAGGAGGAGGAGGAGGAAGGAGGAGGAGGAGGAGGAGGAGGAGGAGGAGGAGGAGGAGGAGGAGGAGGAGGAGGAGGAGGAGGAGGAGGAGGAGGAGGAGGTGCCGTGCCTTGAAAATCGGGGCGCGCATAGAGACAGGGGCGGCGTCCTCTTCAAGGGGTTCGCTTGAGGCGTGGGGCACTGGAGGCAGTGCAGTGGGAGGCGCTGTGGCATGGGGGCGCTGTAGCATGGCACTGTGGCACTTCATGGCACGAACGTTTATTTTTCCTCTACTAGGCTTGCCGAAAGGGTTATTACTTGGTCAAAGGTTGGTGCCTCGGGGGCTTACGATGCCCGTTGCCCAAAGGTGCCTCGGGTTCTTCGGGTTCCTCGGGCTTCCCGCCCCCAGTGCCTCCTGTTGTTACGTTGCCCGTTTCCTGGAGGGTCCTCGGTTTCTTCGAGCTCTCCGCGCCCCCCGTGCCTCCTACTGTTACGTTGGCCGTTCCTCTGAGGTTTTTCGGGTTTCCCCAGTTCCTCGGGTTCCCTGCCCTCGGTGCCTCAATGCGAAGCGGCGCCAAGTAATGCCAAGCAATGCCAAGCAGTGCTGGGCCATGCCAATCAATGCTGGGCCATGTCAGGCAATGCCTAGCAATGCCATGCAATACCAAGCAATGCCACACAATGCCAAACAATGCCAAGTAGTGCCAAACAGTGCCAAGCAGTTCCGAGCAATGCCAAGCCATGCCTGGCAATGCCAAGCCAAACCAAGTCAAACCAAGCAATGCCAAGCAAGGCCAAGCAATACCGAGCAAGGAGAAACAATGCCAAGCACTGCGCCCATGCAGTACGAAACTATCCCCTCATTTGGGTCGCGCCGGGTAGATTTCTTGCTCATTCCCATTCTGCGGTGCACACTAAGATGCGCATGTGCGCTGTAGCGCCGACCCGCACGACGGGGGAAGTGTGAGGGAGGAAATGGAAGACGAGGAGGAGGAGGAGTAGGAGGAGGAGGAAAGTGAGGAGGAGGAGGAGGAGGTGGGGAGGAGGAGGAGGAGGAGGAAGGGGGGATGTA